TATTCCATTGGGGCACTTTCTTTTTATAATTTATAAATAGGATTTTAGTAGGACACTCAAAAGGATTAGTTGAGAAAAACTGAATTCACATTTGAGGATAAACTGTGCACAGACACAAAGCTTCAATACAGCCAATTACAAAGAATATTCGGCTATAATGGCCCTCTAGGGCTGTGCTAACTCCAATCCCTCTTTCTAAGGATGGCAGGGAGGGAAGAGGAGAGGCTGGGCATGGTCTGTGATCTGGCCTGACCTGGAGCCTCTTCCTTTTCCTCTAATTCTGACACAGAGTCTGTTGTGCCCCAGTCTGGCATCCACCAGAAAGGCCTCTTTTGGGCATCAGGAATGATAGCAGATTGGGGATTTCTCAGTGTCTGTCTGCAACTGCTCAATATTGAATGTACCTAACACACTTGCTTTGACCAAATAGAATACATCAATCATATCACTTTCCTCTGTCATCTTCAATTTTCACCCGTAATTGTTAGGATACAGACCCCTCACACCAGAGAATCCTCAAAGGGGACAACTCCCAAATGTGAAAGCCTCTGAGAAACCTTTTTTGCTTGTCATGTCTTTGTTGGTGGTGGGAGGGCTTTTGGGATCTCCCAAGGTATTGGTTAGGATACTGCCTACCTTCTGGGTTTAATGATGTGTATGGAAGACTTCCCATTCTATTCAAAAGCCCTTTCCTCTATAGTTGTTTTCTTTATCTCCTTTTGAATGAATTCCACCACCTCTGTCTTCTCTCCTTCCCATCTATCCCCGCACACACCCTCGATGAAGTGGCTGAGCTGAAAAGCTATCCCTTAGAACAAATCCTACTTCGCTAATACTTTATTATCTACTTGTTCTTAATTTCAATTGTATGTAGGCAGTTACCATGAAATGCTATGGGAACCCACCTCACTTATGTATAAAGCCAATCATTAGGGCAAGACTAATTACAAATAGCAAATTAAAAATCCGCTTGGTTTGAGCGAGACAGTTGTGATAGTTAAAGTTGCTTATTTCAGACTTTACTTTCGTGCTCTCAGAAGCCTCCTTGACCTCCTCAGATCAAAGCGGTCCAGAAGGACAAGGCATTATGGCCCAGGCTGAGTTTACACAAGACATCGAGAGCTCTTGGCTGTTGTAATTATCTTCTCATCACATCAACTGGCCACTGGCTTTCTCCACCAGACCCTATCTTATGTGGCATCTCAGAGGACTCTCATTTCAATTCTTTATTACCTCATAGCCATAACCAGCAGCTCCACAGCCAATGTTTCCTCTTCAGGGACTTAATTGATCAATAATTCTGTTTAAAACCCAGCAGGGCATTGCAGTGAATGGGTCCTTTCTCTCCACTGGTACCTGTATTTTGGTTTTCTTCCTTTTTGCTATGGATGAAGATATCTCATGGATGAATGATGCCAGTGTGGGCTTGGAGAATACTAATATGGCAACGGGTCACATGAGTGACAGGTAATAGAACAACAGTGGAAAAACATCTGGGACATGCCTTAGGGACAAGAGACACAAAGGCCAGACAAGAAAGAAGAGAGGAAAAGAGGCGAGATGTCACATTAGAAAAACCTTATAGGAAAGCATTGATTCAACCAAGGGCATCAACTTCATTGAGCGGGTGGAAAAATTGACATTGTCTGGTACTTGGAAAAGAGGTTTTGTTCTGACAACTCCTGATCTTGGATACAGGGAGGAAATTTTAAGCATCCTATAGAGTCAGGGGCTGCTTCTGCAACTGAGGCTTGTGCCTGGTACTTACTGGAAATGGCTTTGCTTCCTGAAAGATGAACATGGAGAAAGGTTATTGAGAGATCATCTAATTGTGGGTGTGAGTTGCCTGGGAGAAGGAAGAGACATAGGATAAATAAAATCAGTTGCATGGTCAATGAGTAAAATAAATAGAGCTAAATTCTGAATCTCATATATATGTAACTTTTCTTATCAATATGTATTGTGGGAATTCTCATCATAAGAAAGTTATTGCAAATCAGCTTGTAAGTCCCCTCTTCCAAGAAGCCTTCTTTGATTTCCCCTCCCTTCCTGATTTTTTCCTTCCTCTCTATTTCTATAACTAGGGTGACCAGGTGTCCCAGTTTGCCCAGGACAGTCCTAGTTTGCACCTGTTGTCCTGATGTAATCATTAATAGAACTCCCTTTCATTTTCCTAAGTATCCTGGTTTCACCCTTTCGTAATACTCTGCACTTCTCCATATCATAGCACTCACTGATCTGTGTAATAAATGATTTATCTGTATCCTTCATTAGACTGAAAGGCTTCTGAGTACAAGCGTCTCGTCTGTCTTGTTCACTGTTGGATTTTCAATACCTAGTACTGAGCTGGGCACACTGCTGGCACCCCAAAATGTTCATTAGATAGATGAATAAATGCCTATGATCCAACTCAGGTTCCCAGGGTGGCCTGGCAGGAAATGCTTCACGGGCTATTCAGAGCAAGGTAGCAATCACACGGAGAATACGGGAATCAATTAATCAAAAGCTTTTCCCGTCCCCAACCTTAGGTAAACTGATTTATACCTGTTGGTAGAGTCCAGCTCCCTCTGTCATCTGAGTGTCATCCGTACAGGCAGCCCAGGTCACTATCTTTCTGTACAGTCATTGTTGTATAAAGAGCCAGCATGGGCTATTGTCCACATGAATTACTCCCTGGAAATAATGCTGTCCTGAAAGACCAGCAGCCTTAGAGTAACAGAGAAGAGGGGCAGCAGCAGGGGCACTGATGGCCAAGTTCAGCTTGGCCACTCACCGATGTTGGGATCTTGGTCAAAGTGCTTCACCTCTCAGCCTTGCAAGAGAAAGGTCCCTTCTAGCTGTCAATCTCTGTAATTCAGTGACTATCCTAGGGTTCACTAACACACAGCAGCCAACGGCTGCGAGCCAGGATTATAAACATCTCGATGGAGAACTAGATTGGCTTTGGGGTTCTCCACCTTCAGTTTTGGCAGGGCTTGTTGCTCAGCAAGGCCTTTCCCAGGGTTCCCCTTCCACCCCTGAGAGCCCTGCTAATCAAGCCTGAGGTACTGGCTCCCCTGCCAGGCCACGATGAGAAGCATTTAGGAGTATACAATCCCAGGTAACCAGCCAGGTATTTAACCAGGGTAATCTCGAGCAGGGTGACTGGGCAAACATTCTGGGCTGTGATTGAGAAAGAACGCGAAGGATCAATCAGAGCTGTGAGAAAAAAACCTTCAACAGGGAAGTGGCAGCATGGGATCAGAAGGCAGAAATACTCAATACGGTGTGGGAAGCAGTGGGCAAAGCTGGAGAGGCAGAGAGAGCAGCGTGGATGCTGCTGTCAATCAGGGAAACACCTGAGTGACGCTGTTTTTATGGAGCTGTATGTGTGTGAAAGGCCCAGCTGCTGAGAAGGCCTGGAATGCTTGTGACTACCAAGGATTCATACAAAATCATGATTGGGTTATCTGAAATTTAACAGAAGATTCCTGAAGATGCAAACCTTCATCCAGAAAGCACATTCTCACATGAGGGAATTTCAGATGGTATGGCAAGCCTAGAAGAGGGGCTATTTGGAGCCACTAAGATCGGGTCATAAAGCTCCTGCATACTCTGCCTTCCTCTAAAGCCAGAGTTAGTAAGATAAGCCAGGAACTAGGGGAATGGTTGAATAAGACGGGTAAAATGTCCTACAGCTTTTTTAGCCTCCAGTGTTACCTAAAATCTGAGGATGACAAGTTGGTCAGTCAGGAGTGGAGACAAAGACCTAAGCCTGTGCTTCTAAAACTGTCCCTTTTGGAAAGGTGAGCATGTGCTCCTGAGTTCTGGGAATATAAAGCAGTTCCCTAAGAAATCACAGGTTCTGCTGGGACCTGCCCCGCATCTGGTTGATCAACTGCTACTCAGATACTGTGAAACAGCCCTCAGTTGGGGACTGCTGCCAAGGGAGGGACCACGGACTTTCAGATAGTGACGTCTTATGTCCCCAGAGAGCAAAAGGTTCCCGGGGAACTTAAGAGGAATCAGGGAAGCCGGGATGGCTCAGAAAGCAGCCTGCTCCCCCGCTGCCACCTCTGAATCCCGGGGTTTTAGAATCTCCCTGACAGTTTGGCAACACTTGAGGTAATAGCAGCAGAGCTAATTTGCTAATCTGCCAGAACTGCATCCAACATCCTTTTGTGCACTGACACTAGAGTAATAGGAAGGCACAAGCTCGGCCACTGTTTGCTTGCTGAAACTAAGCTATGGCATTCTCTGCATAATTCATTTGTGCATGAAATGGAAGTCTACTAGCATAAGTAAAGCACTAAGCAGAGATAGGTGGTAAATGTCTTTTTTAAGTCTTAAAGATAGACTCTACTTCACTTATAAAGCCCAATTTGGTATTACTTAATGGCATGAAACACTTTTCTCCGCAGCCGTACCTACTGAGTGCTTTTTGATCCCCCTACCTTCCCGGGCCCCTGCCTGCTGAGATGGTCAGTCCATCATCCCCTTGACTCTCTCTGCCTCCCCAGCCATGTCCTTGCAGCTGGCACTGAGCCTGGCATCCTGTCCTCACAGGACCTCTTACCCTCCCGCAGGGCCCACTCTAGCAGCAAAGGCTGGAGGCACCCAGGTTCCAGGCCAGGCCAGGCCGGGGGGCTCCGAGCTAGCTGGTAATTGAGCTCAGGGAATGGAGGCCTTGTGGTGAGCTCAGAGGGGCAGCAGTAGCCAGGGCCAGGGGGTTGTGAGTGGGAGGAGTTGGCCTCTGTTCTTCCACAATTGGGAAGGGCTCTGCTAAAACAGCTGCTTCTCAGCAGAGGAGCCTTAGGCCAAGCGAGTCTGCTCAGAGTCCGCTCAGTGTTCAGATGGGTCAGGAGCCCAGCACAATGGGCTTTGAGCTTTGTGGGTCTCTTTCCGGTTATCCCTTGCTGCAGAAGAAATTATCCTAAAACATAGTGACTTAAAACAACAACTTTATTTAGCTCACAATTGTATGGTTTAGGAATTCGGGAAGAAATTGGCTGGGCCGTTCATCTCTGATTCTCAGTGTCATGTGGGGCAGGATCCACTTACAAGATGGCTCCTCACACCTGCTTCCGGGGCCTCCTGGGTCCTCTGCTTCTCTCTGTCTCTGCATTTCTTCAGGGACCTCTCCAGTGGCTTCAGCTTCTTACAGTATGGCCCTCAAGGCTGGTGCCCATGAGGAAATGTTCAAAAGCAAACAGATGAAGAGGCACGTGGGGAAGCTGCAACTTCTGTGACGGAGCCTCTGAATCCCCGAAGTCACACAGCCGCATTCTGGACTTATCAAGCACTTTGGTAAGTCCAGCCATGTCTAAGGGGAGAGGAAGCGTCAACTTCAGCTCTGGAGGTGCACACAGGGAAGGAAGCATTGATGGATGCCACCTTGGAGGCACACTACCACAGTCTCCCAGTCACTCAGGTAGGACCCGGGCTCTGAGCCCCACTCACCGGTCCTCACTCGTGATAACCAACACACCTCCACACTTGCAAAGATGCATGCCTATGCTCCCAAGTACACATCTTTCCAATAGGTCAATTGCACTGGCAGTGGGTGCACGCTTTATAGGTTTAATGGGTGCCCACAGACTCAAATTATCTTTAGATATAGAAAAATATATTTTGAAATGTACTTGAGCACTTTTGTATTAGCTCAGTGGACCATGACTAATGCATTATCCTGGTTATATGGCTCACATTCTGAAAACCAAAAGACTAGCCTACGCAGTTACATGGCTTCAGCATCTGAAAGGCAATGCCCCATCTTGAGTTCAGGAACCTTCAGGTCTCTGGCCAGTACCAAGGCAATAGTTTCTGCTGCAAGTGACAGGATGGGAATGAGGAGGAAGTTTTGAGTCCTGAAGTAGAAGATTGCAGAGAGAACATCCAGCCAGTTAAAGGCTCTGGTGGCAGCTTGCTTCCACCTCCACCTCCCTTTTCTGGATGTCCTTTTCTTGCTCATGGAGAAATATCATAAAACAAACCAACACGTGAACACATCAGAGACTAAGTTAACTAGCTAAAGGCTTTCGCCAGGTCTACCCATGAGGGATAGGCTTCCTGCCAACATAACTTTTCAATCTTTTTATGCTGAAAGAGTGCCTTTGTTTTGACCTTGACTTAGTTATTAAGCAACCTTATGTTAAGGTTGGCTTTGAAAGGCATTATGCTCAATTACCCTTAATTCATTCATTTTCCCCCTTTTTCCTTAATTGCTGTGAGTGGGGAAAGGTGAATCCACCACAGTGAAATATTTGTTTGAGTTATTATTTCTTTGATGTTTGATTCCATTGGTAAATTATAAGCTGCACGAAGGCAGAAGCTGTGTCTGTCTTGTTCATTGTTACAAAGCAGAGCGTATCAAGTGAAGAATCTGGCACATATAGACACCCGTCAAATTGTTCTCCAATGAATGGATGAATGAATTTATTCAACAATGTACATCAAGCAAGTACCATATGCCAGACACCGTGATGGGTTCCAGGGTTATAACAGCGAATAAGATGTGGTCCCTGTCCTGCCGGAGCTCAGACCACATCTGTGTGAGTCTACTTATATTTGTTAAGTATTTCTTCCTTAGCCCCTGGATCAGTGCACTGCTCATAAACTATCCAACCATATGGGGGCCATCCTTGCTGCACAACAGCCCAGATGGTGGCTTCACCAGGCAGGATTATTTAGGGGTGATCTTCTCCCAACCACCTCCCTTCCCAGCTCTCACTTAATTACCCAACATGCCTCATAAATAAGGGAAGGGGGTGGGATTGCCTTCGCCTCGTGAGCATAAATGTTTTCTAAATGATATTGTTCCTGCAGCTTCCGAGAGCCTCATAAACACGCCTGGCCCTGGATTTATTATGCGGTGATAATCCCTCCTAGCCAGCTGGTAAGATTCATAGCTCTGACCCCTTCCCTGGCTCCCTCCTCTCCCTGGCCTCATGCAGGGGAACTGGGGGCCAAGGGTGAAAGGTCACAGAGCCTAGGGGGCTGTGATATGGGCCAGGAGGCAGGCTGGCAGATATCCAACCGACTTTGAGAAATGCTGCCTTTCCCCGAGACATCTGCTCCCGAAGTGTTCCTAGCCAGCCTGCCCCCTGCAACCACCCGAGGAGTTCCCTGGCAGAAAGCAGGTCTCAGCAGGAGTGAGGGGGCCACACACAGCCCTGCCACTCTCCTCTGCCTGTTTGTCCCTGCACAGCCCACACGCGCCCATGCTGGGACTGCTCCAAAGACTGCTGCAGGCACCAGCCGACAGCTCCAGAATGCAAGCCACCCCCTGCCCACCTGCCTGGTTACTCCTGGTTTGCAGCTTTCTGGATTTGAGACCCTCCCACACTCACTTTGCCTGTGTAATTCAGATTCTCTACCCCTCTGTATTGACAGCCTGGGTTTGAAGCAGCTCCCCCACTTTGCCTCAGAAGCTCAGCTCATCATGATTTCTGTTCTCTGTGATTTAGCTTCTGACATTGAAACTGTGGACAAGAGATCCTGGAGGACAGACCCTGAAGCACTCCCTTGCCTGGTGGCCTCCCAACAGAAGAGGAACCCTGGGCTTTAGAGACTGATTATTGTAACACTGAGACCAAGCGGTCGTCAGTCTTCGAGGGCACACCCTATGCAGACTCTTTTCTGTGTGGGCAAATGAGTGTCATCTAAATATATCTCAGCCATACTGCTTCAGCCCTAAGGCTTGGTTTCATACAGTGACACATTAAAAAGAAAAACAAATCTAACTCCAAAAGCTTTGAAAAAGCAGTGTAATTATTTCCCTAAAGGTTCTTGAAGAGATGGCAAAGGGGAACGTATATCACATCACACAGAAAAACCATTCTAAAAGCCCTGTTTACTAGTCCGTCTCCACAAATTCCTACCACATCCAGTAGCAGAGGTGCAGTATACGGCTATGGAGGTTGTGCACTGCACAACCCAGGGGAAGCCATTCACATCCGTAGCCATAACAGATATATATTTATGGTAGGAATTTTCTGGCAGATGCTACTCAAGTGTTTTAAAGAAGCAATGGCTTCTTTCTCTTTGCATAATGGCGTATGTGGGTAGTGGCAGAAGTATGTGAAGCTTCTCTCATCCCTGTTTTCCAACTCTTTTCCCAAAAATCTCGACTGTTCTGGCTCTCCTGACTTATTTCCTCCATTCCTCTCACTCAACGCATTCTCTCAACCCCCCTCCCCTCCCCAATACACACACACATACACCTCCCACACCCACGCACCTCCATCTTTTCTTTGAAGGGGAGTTCATGCTCTCCCCAGGCTATGAGTTTAACCTCAGATCCTTCCAGGTCTCTGTCTATCCTCTGTTGTCACCATTACCCTGGAGCAGGTCTGCAGTAGCAAAGGGTCCTCCTTACAAAGTGATGTTGTCATCATTGTCTCACCCAGAGAGACTCCAGGAGCTGACACTGTTAAAAAGAAAATTTAAGAATCTAGAGGAGACATAAAAAGCAAACTCACTACTGCAACAGGAGACCATTTGGTCCTGTCCTCTGCCATTACTCCAACCCAGTCCTTGCCGCAAGGCATGTCTGGGTGTTCGGCAAGGGCTCTACCAATGTGTTCCCAGGGGCTTCCTCACATCTCTCTCAGAATCTTGCTTTATCTCTGTGAAGCCATTTTATTTTTCTTTCTTTCCTTTCTAAGTCTCTCCCCCGAGGAGCTTAAGCCACAGTCTCTGGTTCAGATCCACCATGGGGAAGGGACATGGCACTTGCTGTCCCCAACTCTTCTCTGAACAAGATTTCTACATAAGCCATCTTCTTTCCAAACAATATCTCCAAAGTGTAGGCTAGGAGGCAAAGGAAAGGCCCTAATAAAACCCTAACCTGGGGCTACTCCAAGTGAGCACCCATGTTCACCTGCCCCTTACCTTTTCAGGTCTCCCTTTTTATTAGCATAGTTATGCTCCATCTTCCTCCTTCCCTTCCTCTCTGTCTCTCTCTCTCCACTCCTGATCTCAGCTGGAGCAGTTCCTGAAGTTCTTGCTGAGGGTAAGAGGAAGAAGGTCCATTGCACCTTTCACCATTTAGCCAGCACTGCGGGAAGCACTCAATTCCCTCCTCCCTCCCGCTCTTTTCCACTCTGCAGGTGCTGCCTGTACCAGGAACTTGCTTTCCTGGCCCAGGCTTTTGGCCCTTTAGTCCAGCTTCTTGTTCAACACAGTTGGTTTCTCCTCATTTGAATCTGGAGCACCACCCTCTTAATTAAGTGCATTAACCCTTTCAGGACAGCAGTGTCCACAGACAGTTTCTTGCATTGGAACCTCCCAGAACGATACCATTGCTCGCGCTCCTGGTCTTCCAGGTATCTTGGGGGCTGCTGATTGACCAGGGTCCCTGCCCTCTCTTCCAGTCATGGGCAAGTGAACCCCAATCTAGAACAACCAGAGCCCACGTCTACGTGGTGAAAACGGGCTCTTCTCTCTTTACTATTTTTTCTGCCTTTGCTTTCTGTTTTCCTCCACTCTCCCAGCTTCCCTGTCTTCTGCCTAAATAACACATCACAATCTAACCGAATCAATCACCCTCGCTCAACAGCCTCCCCAGGGGGCCTTTTTGGAGAACGTGGTATAATCTTCCTGTCACTTTATCATCTGCTGAAGCCCAACAGCGGTGAGCAGTGGTTTCTGTGAGCACAACATCATGAACAACTCTTTAGGGAGGGGTGGAAGGGAAGGGAAACGCTACAGCAGACACAAGCCCCACCCTCAGGTTCTGCCTTCATGGGGGCGAGCCTGGCTTTCTAATCCTCCCCCCCGCTGCCACACTGTTGCATAGATTTTGCATGTCTTTCCCCAGAGAACTCCAGAACCAGAATTGAAAGCCTCATCCTCTGGGGCTGTCAAGTATTTCCACTCAACTGTCATCACGTTTAGAGATGGAATTATAAAGTATCTATATTGGTGATAGAGGCTGGGGCAGGGCAGATGGTTGGAGATACAGTCAGTGCAGCAACTGGAGGTGAGACAATGCATGTGGGATCTTCATTTTGAGGGGTGCATGTTGAGATGACCACGTCCCTGAAACAGAACACAACATCATGCAATGCTTGGAGAATCGGCCAAGTGGTGGTCATGTTATTCCTTGGGCCGTCAGGATCCTCTGGCTGCTGTAGGTTGCCCAACATCCACGTAGCTGCCAAGACTCTCTGCCTGGCTCTTAGATGGGATGCCCTGTCCTCAGGCCCATGCCACTGCCCATTTCAATGCTATCACCTCTATTCTCCTTGCCTCTTATCTCTTCTGCTTCCAGCCATCCCAGAACACTACCACTATATAATCCTTCCTGAAGCCCAGTTCTAAACCTGTCACTCATATTCAGAAGACTTCAACAGCTCCCCGCTGCCCATCAGTAAATTCCTTATCATGACTTAGCCCAGCATTCAAGGCCCCCATGCCTCAGTTTCCTCTTTCATTCTAGCCTTATTTCCATTTTGTGCTTCCAGAAACCATCTAAACTGAATCACTGATTAGTTCATACTGCGTTATATTCAAAACTGTAATGTCCAAACTCTCCCCACTGTTCCAGGTCCGGTTAGGAGGACACCTCCAGAAGGAGCTTTCTCTGATGGCTTTCTCCTCTGCACTCCGATTGCATTTTGGTTTTCCCTCTTGGATCACTTTCTATCTTGAATGATGGTTATTTATGTGCATATCTACCATGTCTACTTTGTACCTAAAGGGTCAGGACCCACATCTGGCTCTGCAAGCTGAGCTCAGAGCCTTGGACACTCAGTAAATATAGTGGAATCTGTTCCTAGCCAAGAACTCCCTTCTGTCATGGGTTATTGGATATCAGTGGTCAACTTTGCTTCTGTCCTCAGGAAACAATGAAATGAAGTAGGAAAAAAGAAAAACACGGGCTTGCAAAGGAGCCTCTGAGAGAAAGAAGAAAACACAGAGCTGGGTGTTTATTTCTGGCTTCCCGAGTTGTTTATTATCTGCTTTTTCAGGTACAGCACACCCTTCATATCCTCACCGATAATTACCGAGGAAGCATTCAACTAATTTCCTCAACTCCAACTGCCTTTAGTAGAATCTAATTTTAACATTGCTCTCAGTCACTTTTTAAGGATGCAAATAAGTAGAAACGACAGACACCTATGTGCCTGCATGCCTGCCTCTCCATCTGTCCGTCTGTCTCTCTTTCGTTGGGTGGGCCAAGGAATGTGCAGAATTTAGGGGCAGCCACCCTGCCTCCACTGTCCAAACACTGGCCAGACAGAGCCTAGGTGGCTTTCTGGATAAAACAGAGAAAGTGACCCAAAAAATGACATAAATTTGGAAAACCATCAAGCATTTGTAAATGACTCCAGAGAGCCAAAAGCTTGGGTGTCCATCCTGCTCAAACATTAAATAGTTTATACTGATTGTCATGGAGCAAGTGGGTGCAACGTGTTAGAATGACAGACACAATGGAAGAGAAAATTCAGGACCAGGAAACTGGCTCCAGCCCCTAGCAGAGAAATAGCCGAACCTCTCATGCAAAAAGCCTGAGGGTAGATGAACAGTAAGGAGTCCTCTGAGCAGTTCAATTCCCGGCACCATGACAGGACCCCTGGCGCCTGGAAGTAAAGCCAGCAGGCCTCTCTGCCACCTGCCCCAGGCTCTATAATATCCCTGCCAAGAATTTGTTTGCTGTCTAACCTCAATCCTTGCTCTTGCTTTAGCCCACTTGTGCTTGTTCTACCTCAATTTTGCTCTTCTTATAAAAATAAAACTCTATTTGAACAGTTACACACCAACATATTCTACTATCTTTGAATAACATATACATTTTAAAAATAAAATGCACACACTAAGATTCACATTTTTGAACAAAATTATATTACTGTGTATATATTGTGCCTCTGAATGTACTAAGTATTTCTTCCACCTACATTGTTTCATTTACTCTTCACAACAATTCCATAATTCGAATACCTTAGCATTTTTTTTTTCTGTATTGAAAGAAAAGAACTTTGGTGAGGTTAAGCAACTCCTCAGTGCTGCACTGCTTGTAAGCTAGGCTGGGGCTAGACCTTAGGGCCCCAAAGCCTTTATTTCCACTACCGTGGTCTGTCACTCACTAAGTGTCTTCTGAAGGTGGTTTTGAAATGGGCAGTGTTGGCCTCTCATTATTTAATGCCTCCCCCAATCTTTGGAAACGTTCATGCATTCAATGAACAAATACCAACTGAGTGCTAGTATGTCCCAGGCACTAGATGGACATTAAATATTGTGGTACACTGATTAATTAGTCAAATATAGTTCTAATAAAAGCTCCCTTCCTCCCACTAGTTGCTCGGGGGCTTCCCTAGACTCCTTCTGCATAAATCAAACTCTACCCTCACTCCCTGCCCTACTCCAACCCCCCAAATCAAAATTAAAGCCATTTGTTCCTCTGAGACTGCGCTAATTCACCAATACACACTGAAGGGTTATTGACTGACAGTTGAGTGTCTTGGTTTTCCTGTAAGGGTTTCTGCAAATTTTTAAAAAGAGCATCAAATCTCCAAGTTAGGATATATCTAAAGGTACATGAAGACTTTCCAAAGAGATAGTGGGCATGGCTGCACATTTAAGGGAATCAATTTCCACATCTGACACATTTTTTTTCCTAGAACTGACCTGCCATGCAACAAGTTTCCATTGAGCTGTTCGTAACTTCTCACTACCCCTTTCGTAATCATCTTACTCCTATTTTAAAAAAGAAAAGCATTCCTCTCACCTGTTCCAAATCTTTCTATCACACATAATTTGCACAAAGATAAAAAACCTGTGAACATCAAGAAAAGAGATGATGAAAAATATCAATATACCAGGCAAGATTTAGTGCAGGGAACAGAAACCTTTCAAGGTATTTTAAGCACAAAAGGATTTTGTGCAAGGAACCGGGTATTCACAAAATTACTAGAAAGGCTGCAAGTGCTGGTTCTAAGCTGGGGCCCTGGGAATGATTTCTAGAGCAGTAGAGGTCTCATCATCCACAGGGTGCTCCTCTGAGCCACCCCTGGATCCATGCTCATCACTGCTGAGCAGCCCCTGCACACCAGGAAACTGGAGACTGGACCCTAAAACCATGGTCCAGGAATGAGAGAGTGACTTCAAAGAGTTGCCAACGTCATGACTGTTCCTTGTTACATGGAAATCTGAAGGATAAACACTGGAACGTGTTGCAGGAAAATTCCAACCTTCCTGACCAGGGGAAGCCAGTAGAGGGCTCAGGAAGGACGTTTCTCTCTCACTTCAGCTTCCTAAATCTCTCACGGGTGTGTCAAGTAGCAGAGATTAATTCTACCCCCAATGCTACATGCAAGGGAGCACCGAACATATAATTAGCTTTCCGTGCTCTCCAAATAGGAGCATGAAATACAGATTGCAGAACCACTCCAGGTACCTGCCCTAGTCAGTGTCCATGAAGCCCCCTTAATTTCAAGTCACCATAAATCTGTGCATGTTCCCAACTTTCCTTGTCTCACCACATTTCTGTTAATGATAAGCAATGGCATGTTGGCATATTCTAAGTTCATGGGTTGATGGGAATAATGAGCTTTAATTTTAAACCCCACCTTTCCCTTCCTCAACTCCTGCGCAGAAGCAGAGAGAATCAAGAACACAGGAAGAAATGCTGAAGGAAGCGTCTTTCATCCAGGTGGTGAATTCATGACAAGGCTCCACATAAGTTAGAATTGGAAGGTTGGAGATTTGTAAAAAGCTAACTGGGAAGCATCATTCTCCTCTGAAGCACACACTCTTCATTTTCACCCTTTTCAACAACGAGCAAGAACTTGGTGGGTGACGCTTATTCACCCATGGCTCCCCGTCTCCCTCTGCCTCAGTTACATATTTTGCATGATTTCAAGGAACAAAAGGCAAAAAGTCCCACACTTACCTCCAGATGCTCAACATTACACCCCCAAGTCCTAGGAACACAGATGTGAGCTGTATCCATGTTCATTTTTCACTTGGGCGCAAACTCCTCCCTACTGTGGGCTCATTTATTCATTCCTACCATAAGCTTATGAGATTTAGATTAATTCAATGAAAATATCTTGTGGATTCCATTGTAAATAATGCACTTAACAACAATTATTAACAAGCATTCTATGAGAAGCCTCCCATTTACTAGTAATTCAGTATGCTTTCTCAGCTTTTGTTATGAATGTGGTAGTAATAATTAATACTCATCCATGGACACACAAATTATAAAAAGAAGCCTTGTGTCTCTCATTAAGAGACATTTTCCAGAATATTTTCTTTACGTATTCGATATATTCACCAAAATTTTTACATATTATGTTGTTTTGATCAATTATATAATACTAATTAGTATAATAGTATTTCAAGAAGAAAACTATTTTACCATTTAGAGCCTATGGTCAGAGAAATTATTTTTTAAAATTAGTTTTCTTATATATTAATATATGATAGCATAACCAATGAAAGACTTTAAAGCATAAGAATATACAGTAGTGGGGCTGGGCACAGTGGTTCATGCCTGTAATCCCAGCATTTTGGGAAGGCAAGGCAGGTGGATCACTTGAGGTTAGAAGTCTGAGACCAGCCTGGCCAACATGGTAAAATCCCATCTCTACTAAAAGTAGAAAAATTAGCCGGACATGGTGGCAGTGTGTACCTGCAGTCCCAGCTACTAGGGAGGCTGAGGCAAGAGAATCGCTTGAACCTAGGAGGTGGAGATGGCAGTGAGCTGATATTGTGGCACTGCACTCCAGCCTGGGCAACAGAGTGAGACTCTGTCTCACCAAAAAAAAAAAAAAAAAAGCAGCAGCAGCAGCATATATAGTAGTACACTAAAATTCTGTAGGAAAGTCAAATGGAATTCAAGGAGGAAAAAAGAATAGTAAAATCCCAACTGTTAAAGAAGAGCTTGTTTTTTGTTGCTGTTGCTTTTATGTAGACGATGATAGGTATCAAAGTGCTATGGTTTTGAATTTCCTTCTGACACATCAGAAAGAGTGCTATAGAAATTTTATTATAAAGTGGTAACATTTATAATAACCTGGGGAAAACACCTTATAAAATTATTCAAACTCATAATAACCAAATTTATATGTCAACTTAAAATATGAAAGGGTTTTTCTAATTTCTTATAGGAGTTCATGAGCCAACATTCTTGAGGGTCCCTGATCTAAAACCAGCAATGGTTAAACTCAAGGAATGTGCCCGTGATGAAGAAAATGTGAGCAGCACTAGAGGGCAAAGGGGGAAATGCTTTTGACCAGAGGTGATACAAGGAGGTGACCTTTGCTGAGCAGACTTTTTACTTGCAATGTCTCATTTCCATTCTTTACAAACACCAACTAAGGGAGGTGTTCCTTGTTAAGAGCGTAGGCTCTGGAGTCAAACTGCCTGGATTCCAATTTTGGCTCCTCCACCACCTACCAACTGAGGGACTCTGGGCACATGCTTCAAACTGTGTGAAGCTGGATCCCCTCACCAGCCATATGGGGAGGCCTGGTCCCCACCTCCCGAGGATGCTGTGAGGACAAACTGTGATCACTCATGCAAAGTCCTTAGAGTGGCCCCAGCATCTAGAAGGAATTAGCAAACATTTGTTATTTGTGTCATCAGCCCTGTTTTCCAAG